ATTCTTTATTAGAATCTCAATTTCAATCCGCGGACCTTTAAGCCCTGCTCTGCTTTACTTATAATATATACATATTATTTATTAGAATCTGGCAGTCCCACATATACATATGTGGCGATATCAAGCAGGCTGGTTTAGATTTGGAAAAAACAATGGGACATGTCATGTATATTTTTGATATCGAAATATTTTTATAGTTAATAAATTTATATTTTTTTATTATGTTGGGAGTTTCTAATTTAATATATTATCATAATCATCACAACTCCCACATTGGTGACTCACGACGATGGAGATGAAGACAAAAAAAAAGGAGTTTTATTTTTCGAGGATTTAAGAAAAATTGATTTTGACGCAGCACCATAATCACTGGTCTTCAGAGACGACCTATAAGGTACGTCCAGTCCAATCCATCATAGTTAACGCACTTACTATCTGGATCAGACTTCCGAGGTTACTCATTTGGTATACCCAGACCTCAGTATTTATTGCTGACAGAAAAAATAATTTGGAGCCTGAACTTTTCATTGGAATGCAATTTAACCTCTCTTTCTCTGTTAACTCAACAAATCGTCTTATAATGCTACCTCCCGTTATCGGTGACAACGACGAGTCAAAACAAAATTTGACATAATTTATTGGATTCCACAATTCTGGACTCTTATGTCAAAGAAACCAATGATCCTGATTTGGATAAAGAGCCAACTTCTTTCTCTGATCGGAACTCATCAGATACGAATGCAACGCTTGCAGAAATGGAAACTGTACCCATAAATTATGCATTCTAAACATTAAGTAATTCTGATATAACTAATACCAATTAGATGGAGGCTGAATCTTAGAAGTTCACCGACATCGAGGTACAGGAAATTTTCCACATGTTTTTCATTAATCAGAACCTTATGCAGAATATGGAGTTGATGGCAGGTCGAATCACCACATACGGTGGATCTGCTGACGAAACATGGAAATTTGTAATTGACCAGTATTACAACACTGGTCTGCTATAATCTGCTTTCCCACCACATTTTTATAACGTGTTTCCCTGTATTTTCTTTTTAAACTGTGAGATCAACACTGGGCAGGGAGTGTGTGGCGATATCAAGCAGGCTGGTTTAGATTTGGAAAAAACAATGGGACATGTCATGTATATTTTTGATATCGAAATATTTTTATTGTTAATAAATTTATATTTTTTTATTATGTTGGGAGTTTCTAATTTAATATATTATCATAATCATCACAACTCCCACACAGCCAAGGAGGGCTTTAGGAGCTAATTCTGCGATTACACAGCCGATAACATAGCGTTATTATGGCAACGCTATGATATGCTTGTTTCTTGGTAGTAAAACTTTGAAATTGTCTATCTAATTGATGTGCTATTAGGCGTTTTACACATAAAACCGTATATGATGAATGCGCATGACAAAGATGCAGTTATCATAACATTCTTTTTTTGTTTGTTTATATGTAAAATACACCTGATCGCACAGCAAATAGATAGCATTTTCACAGTTTTTACTATCAAGAAACAAGGATAACATGACGTTGCCATAACAATGCTGTGTTACCGCAGAATTGTCTCCTTAGTCTTACTTACCAGAATGATCAGAAGGTCTGTATACATAAATGTTTTTTTCTAATTATTGATTCCATCTTTTTGGTTTTGTGTAATTTACCACGTCTGAGATGAATTATGATAGACGGAATATAAAGATTTGACATATAAAAAATGCAAGAAAATTTACCCACCGATCCTTGTCCTAAGAGTGAAGCGCGAGCTGGTCCGTTAGTGGTATGCCTAGTGGTTCGCAAGTGCTAATTAGACGCAGTCAACGGGGGCGTCGTCGATACTAAAGCGGTCGATCAACCCTGCAAACTAACACACCAACGAATTAGACGCACGATATACTTTTTGTACGGGGCAAGTGCTTTTTTGTATTTTTATAAAAAAAATTATTTTAATTTTATATATTATAAAAGAAAGATCTGTGCCAATTCAATTTGGGATAGGCTTTTGGAAGTCTGCTACACGAAATTTTGATAGAGCGATGTTTGGCATTTGTGACTCATGTCATCCACAATGCTGGACATCTCGTTTTATGTTCAAATATCAGATTATTCAAATTAATCAGTGCGTATTTCAAATTTTGAACAGCAATCAAAAGTTAACGGTTCTTTGTTCTGTCATAAAGAAAATTTTCCTTGAACGTCTCTTTTTAGAAGTCGATCCAATAAAAATCTAATAACATTTTTAATTTGATGCCGTGAGGGGCTTTTCACACTTGTAAACATATCTTTGATCTGTATCTTGAAATAGAAACCTATAGTACTACTGCTTGATATCATTTGGCATAGATAGACATTGATTGATCTGATATTGATATTGACTATGTGATTCCAGGACCAAAGCTCTTATCAACCGATATTACTACTGCTTGATATAGAAACCGATATTGATACTGCTTGATATCATTTGGCATAGATAGACATTGATTGATATTGACTATGTGATTCCAAGACCAAAGTTCTTATCACTGAGGCATAACAAGCTCACAAAATAAGTGAATGAACTTATTAGGAGCCACTTCTCGGATAAAATAGAAATGTTATATTACAGGCAGGTATAATCGTATGAATTGGTAATCACATACTGACAAAAGGCTAAGTCTTTGCTTTGTGATCATGCGTTTTACTGCAAATCTATTTCGAAAGCTAACCTTCAAATTGCACGAATGCCAAATAATAATTTAGTCAAAAGCGCCACTTTCTGTTGTCACAAATTAGAAAATTCACTCGTTGCTCCGCAGTTTTTTACTCCAAAATTAAGAAAACTTAAAAAAATATGGCTTATTCTCAATCCAACAAATCGTATTTAATAGTAATCAAATTACTATAAATAATCTCGATCTGCTCAAATTAGTCTTTTTACTTCTTTTCAAATATCTTTTTTTTCTTATTCTATGTGATTAAATAATATTTTTTTAATTAATTAATGTAATTAATGTAATTCTTTTCATTTTTTTTTAATTTAGTAAGTCTACTATTCAAGACTTACAAGTGGAAGGGATGAATATTGAACCATTGCATTTTTTCGAAAGCTTGATGTGTTCCATTTATTTATCAAACTGACTTCTAAAATTCTCTTGAACAAATATAAAAATTATATGTTTGCATATAGTTAAATTATATGCAGTATTTTTTTCAAAAGTATTGCTTCGTTAAATTATGCTCGCGTACACTTTAATTAAAATGATAAATTACTATTTGACAAAAAACATGCGAATATATATATATATATATATATATATATATATATATTATGACAACAATTAAAAAAAACAATGTAAGTTTCGCCAATTAGAAAGCCACACAAATACAATGCGTCGAGATCAATTACTTTAAATTTGAAATTTAATGAGAATTTCAAAAAAATTTAACAAATATTACTGCAAAGCATTTGTCATTGAGATAAGAATGGTTATTGTTGTTATTTATGAACAATTCAACATTCTGATAGATTGTAATTATTTAAGGAATTTTATATAATCTATGAAATGCTTTGCATATTAGTGTTTAAAATTCTCAACCTGGAACAACTTAGACTTAAACCTAGAGAGAAATCATTTTAAATATTTTTATAATGTTCAGATACTGTGAAGATTTAATGTTGATTTTTTTTAGACTTTATGAATAATTGTAATTAAGTTATATATTATTTTATGTTCTGTTTGGGTAGTTACAACGTGCTAGAAAATGTATTCTTTGATTTGTCAAAGGTTTCTGACTTTGAAGGTAATGAGTATTGATAATTATAAAACATAAAATTTTAATTTATAATATTTTATGTTAGCTTAATCTAAATTAAATTATTTACGTGTAACTTCACTACACTTCAATTGAAATCTTTCTCACTGACTTCTATCTAATTTTATTTATTTCATTTTGATGAATTATAATTTAAAATCAATTTATTTTCTGCATTTAATTTACTCAGATCTGGAATGAATTACTGTTACTAATGTAAAATTCAAAAATAAATTATACCATCGTACAAATAACTAATTTCAAGAATTTCGTGTTAATTGTTAATTTAAAAGTCTGTTTCGATTTATTCGTTTCTGAAATTACTTAACGGTTTAAATATATAATTATTTTGTCCTATTAAATGTTCTTTTGCTATTAATTTTTTAAATATTTTTACTACTCAAAATTATATGAATCATTTAAATATTTTTCAGCTTCATTTAAATTATAATCTGTATCTATAATTATATATTTATGTATTTTTTTAATGAAGTAGATTTTCGATATTTATGTCACGAATGCAAATATATAATAAAATTAATTTTCACAAGTGTTCAGTAGAAACTAAAATATAAAAACTAGTAATAACTACATTTAGTCAAGGCATGTTAAGATCATAATCAAATAGTGTTTCCGTGTCAAGATTTCCATTAGAGACCTCAACGCGGCGCTTACGCGCTTCGATATGTCAAATAAATTCTCAACTAGCAAGTTTTTTTGAAAATTTTGAATATTGTTAAAAAAAATTAAATTAAAAAAAACTAAATCACATGGTACTGAACTTTTTAGCATGCCTTAAAAATTGAATGTATATATGTGTTTGTGTGTGTGTGTTTGGATACAATTTTTCGTTCATGACACGGAAGTACAGATCGATTGTATTGAGGGGGAGATGTGCTGAATAGTTTTTGGCAAAGGCAGGTTCATCCGTTACGGAAATAAGCAAAAAGCACAAAAACAAACAAAGTGCTTATGGGGATACGAAGCAAATAAAGAATAGCAGTTCGAGAGAACGGCGCATCCGATTAGAGTGATTCAAAAAGCAAATTGCTCTTGTGTCGACGGTGTTTATTATGTTTTTGTTCTTGTAAACATGATTGATTTTTTTTCGCGAATGTTTGATTACAGTACGGGATGTTCCAGCAATTTGCCTTAGTTTTATTCTTATTAATATTTTTTTATATTTTCAGACACCATCGTGGGCCTGTTCTCAATCTGACCACGAAGAAGAACCTTTGCCAAAACAGGCGAGACTCAGCACAGATTTCAAACGAAATTCACTGAGGGCGCAGTCGGATACGAGTGATGTAAGTTCTTTAGATTTTTTATTAATTCATTTTGAAAAGTACCTTAGATTTATTAATGTTGAAAAATATTGCGTGTCATAATTTTGAAAAGATTCGCCATGCAGCAAAATTACAAAAATTTTCGGGATAAAATCTGAGTAGAGTTCTTTCATCTTTTTTAGACCAATAATTTAACTATAAGTACCAGAATAATGATATTTTTTTTGTCAATCAAAACTTCATTCAAGTTTTATAATACAAAATTGTTGAGAATATAAAAAACAAAAAAAACTTAAACCTAAATACAAAATATAAATGTAAATAATAAACAGAATAATAACAAAATAAAATTATAAAAATATTGAAATAATAATCTTAAAATCAACTATGATAATAATGATATGTGGTACGATACTTGAACTTGTCTACAACTCGATTCTTAAGTTTATAGTAAATATTTATCTTTTTTTTGTTTCACTTGCAATGCTCAGCTGGAAATTGTTTTTCTACATCATAAATATTATTATGCGCTTACTAATCACCCGTATCTTATATTTTTATTAATAAAAAATCATAACTTAAAATTGTTATATTCATTTGAAAAAAGCAGAATAAAAATGAATTTAAAATTTTGATCTAATATTATTTTTAATATTCGAATTTGAGGGTCAATCAAATTTGGTCAGGATATCTCAAAGCAATAAAATAGATCTACGTAAAATGGAAAATGTGAAATTTGATGAGAATAGAATTTTTCATGAAAATGAATAATTTGCGAATAAAGTTCAAATGTAAATTACCAAAACAAGAATTAGTAAAAATATAGTATAGGATTTTCAGTAATTGTACTGTCTAAACCGAATTACCTGTGTTATAACACACAACACGTATCAAACAAGCAATTTCCATACAAAACTTTGATTGAATTGCGGTCTATCTAAACGTTAATATTAAGAGCTAAAACTTTCAGAAAATTGTTTTTTATCTATTTGGAACCATTTGAGCCCCTGGAAGCAAGGAAATTCGAAAATGACCATTTTAAGGACCACCCTAATATATATGTATGTATGCATGTATATTTACAAAATTTAAATGATAAACATGACAAAAAGCAATTATTGAGAGAAAATTCGCTTTTGTGCAAATAGCACATTTTCCCAGTGAGAAAAATTTCTTGCGATGCTATCGAAATGTACTTTATATTATGAATCTTGATTAAATCAAAATATTTCACTTTCCCACAATGTGGTTTATTATTTAGCCTGGAGCAAATTATTGTTATTCTTCAGAATTCGCGCCCAGCCTACAATAAATCATATTATGCAACATTATTCTTTAAACAACAATCTTGAGAAATAGTTAAGATGATGCTTTTCAATTATAATTATGTTTTTATTTTGATAATAACAGATGTTTAATATCAAGTATGAATAGATTTATGTATCTATAAGTATTATTTGATTTGTTGAAGTGGTTTTAGCACGTGAATCGTAATCATAATAGAGGTTGCAATCAAATTATAAGGAGAAATCTACATATGGTTTATACTAAGGTTATATGATATGATTATTGTTACACGAATAATAATAATAACAATGTTTTGTCCAAATGCGTGGAAATAATCTATAATTCGTAGAAATTTTACTTTCTAAATTATTGTGTTTTTTATTGCTTTTATTCGAAGAATGAGAAATATCGAATGCTAAGTAGTATCGAAGTATACCTAAGGCAGTTTTGTCATCACAAAAGAAATGAGTGCTTATTTAAAAAAAGTTATTATATTAATATAAAAAGATAGAATGAGTAATTATATTATTTTAACGTCTAAAATTATATACGATTTTTAAATTTAAAAATATTTTGTTGTTAATTCTCTATTTTGTATTTTTATTTTATGTTTCATCATAAGAATATAATCTAAAGTGTCTGATAATTAAGTCGTTTTGTTAGAAAATCATACCATATAGGTAATTAAAATTAACAGTTGAATTGTTAACCAACAGCTTGTTTAAAATTGGATAACAATTAAATTGATTAACAAATTGTTTAAAAAAAAATTGGTAATTTAATTTAACAAATCTGCAAATGATGAAACGAATTTCGAGTCAATGACGACATTATTCTGAAGCATATCATAAGAAACATGAAAAAACTATTTTTCCTATATAGCAATAATTAAAAATATGAATTTTTAATAAATATAATTATTAACATTACACAGTTGAAACTATTTCACAAAGTTTGTTTACTCTTGAGTTCTAAAATAATATTTTGAAAATTGACATTGATATTACATATTTTTGGTATTTTTTAATATCTTTTGATATCAATGAGATGATATTGTATGAGAATAGGATATTTATTACTTCGGATTTTAGTTTTTTTTTTAAAGACTTATTGTTATTAATGTTTTTTGCATTTGTAATAACACAACAGATGTACGATATACAAATATTAGTGATGAAAAAAAATTAATCATTTAAATTTCATATTAATATACGTTTTTCTTCTTAACAGCGTTTAAAATCTACTTGTTAATTTAAAAATTAGTTTGTTTTTTATACCCGATATTTGATTCTTAATATTAGTGCTTAACCCAGAAAATAGTAAATATAATTAAGCATTCTATTGAAATCTTATAATTCCAATAATTCTATGTGAATAATCCTCTTATTTTTTAAAATTTGATTCATTCTGTTATTTATTGCATTTTTTCCCAGTCAAAACCGAATCTGCATTCTTTTATTAATATGAATCTAATAGTTTTTTAATCATTTGATGAAAACTTTACATCAACTTTTTTTACTAACATATACAAAATCATATTTTTTTTTTATACATTCATATTATATACAATCAGAGTTACCCTAAACCCTAAAGTTATTTGGATAAATTACACATAATAATAATAATAATAATAATCACAGAAAGAAATAATATTAATAATAATAATAATAATAATAATAATAATAATAATAATGATAAATAAATAAAAATAGAATAAAAGTAAAGAAAATTAATAAAGAAAATAAAAAGGGAAAAAAAAGAAATTGTAGTAATTGCTCCAATAAGCAATTGACTATGGAAAACAATTTATCATAAGAAAATAAATGCATAAATACTTTCGAAAATTCTATGAAGAATTTGTAAACTCGATCCACTAATCATTTTTCATTCATTGACATTTATTGTTCCAAATTGATTTCAATATTTATTTTAAATAGTAAATTTAAATATGTGAGCAATTTTTATGTAGGCAATCTTTATACTGGTTTTAGAGCAATAATTACGACTCACAATGAAGTACCATTTATCTCAATAATCATGACTATCCGCATTTCATGCCTCGTGTAATTATTATTTTGTATATAATTAACTAGATGAATGTTAGTTTTCTAATTACGATTTATTTGCAAATATCAAAATACTCGTTTCGTGTTAATGGTTTTCGGTTTCCAAACATAAACAAACTGTTTCTATTTTCGAATGGTAAATTAATATAATCGAATGAATGACTAATGAAAATTTTAAACAAACCTGTTGTAGGTTGTTGAAATAAGTAATTACAATCAGCGATTTTTAGATACTGCTAATATTTTATTTCTTTCTTTGAATTTGGTTTATTTCTTTCTTTAAATTTCAAACTAATTAGTCCGACAAGAGTGTAACAATGACGCTCAACATCTGTCAGCTTCCTTAGAGGTGAAAGTGGCACTTACAATTAGTCCCTGCAAAAAGCCAGTGCTCGAAATGGAATTTGGTCTCTTAGGGGGTGTCCATTAATTACGTGAGCGAGTTTTTAAGGATTTTTGGACCCCCCCTCAGTCTTGGTGAATCATGCTGATATTCAAAATTACTCCCCCTGCCCTAGAAAGCATCACGTTTATTTTTAGTTTAGTGAAAAACTGTACAATTTTTTATTTTTTTTTTAAATGTTTGAACTTTTTTTAAAAAAATATATAAAAAATAAATGCACGTGATATCTCAATAGACCCCTCCCTTCCCCACATGACATTTCGTGATGTTTTGTCAAACCCCACCTTCCCCTAAAAACTTCACGTAATTGCACCCTTAGTTGCAGGAACGTTATTAAAACTAGCCAATTTTTAACTTCCCGTAGGGTAAGTTATTGTAATCGTCCAAAAATCGAAATTGAAAATTTTTACATTTCTTGACGTTTTGAAGGTTTCTGAACATTTTGGCATACCTCAGAAAAAATAGACGTGTGTGTGTGTATGCATGTATGGATACAATTTTTCGGTCACGTTTTCGGGCGCACGGATCAACCGATTTGAATGGTTCAAAAAACATTCGGTTCCTATTGATAGGGAGATGTGCTGATCAGTTTTTGGCAATGGCAGGTCCAGCAGTTACGTAGATGAAGAGCAAAGAGTGCAGAAAATAGAAATCGAGTTTTTGAGAGAACGGAGTATCCGATTTGAATGATCTAAAAAAACATTCAATTAGTAATGATTCGTAGAAGTGGTTATTAGTTTTTGGCAAAGGTAGGCTCAGCCATTTCGAAGATACCGAGCTAAATGTTAAAAAAATGGAAGTTTTTGAGAGAACTAAGCGTTCAATTTATATGATTCAAAGAACTTTCTGCTTGTTTTAACAAAATAATCGATTTTGAATAAAAAATGTGTTTCAAAATAAATTTCTTTTTTAATTTTTATTTCAAAAAAAAATTTTTTTTTATATCGAAAATAAATCACATTTTATTTTTAATTCTGACTAAAGTTCTAATATATTTTAAACAAATAACTTCAACTATGCCATTCAGTTTATATAATTCTTATAAATATTAGACAATGTTACATTTAGTTCAATATTTCCTGCTATTGAAATCAATTTTTGAAGTTTGTAGTACTATTTATTGCACAAATGCATAATTAGATTTACAGTCCCTGTATCTAAATGGCTCGGCTAGTTTTATTACCGTTACTTTAATATTTATGCAGATTATGTGCACGACACAACTTTCATAATCATTTATTACGGCGGCTTACGTGCTTCAAAGCGATGTTATGTATATTTTTCAATCGTATTTGGTATCCTTTACTATGTTGCCAGCGAATTAATAAATAAGAACATAAAAATATTTGAAAAAAATCATAGATATGACTGCATATGGTTTTGCAATATCATAGATAGGGAAATACAAGGTACAGCGCACGTTATAGCCAACTTTTTATTATATTTATTAAAAAACTAGATGACCCGACAGACGTTGTCCTGTACCCATGTCTACAATTTTTTTATATAATATACTAATATTTACCGTTTACCCAAAAATAATAATTATTGTTTTTTAAATTACTCTTTACGCCAAAATGCATATACATTTATAATATGAGCGATTTTAAATGTAGAACTGCTTTAAATAAAATGATGAGTCTCAATTCGCACACTATATTGGAAATGTAAGTTTCAGCTGCTTTTCTGCAATAATAACGTAGACATTTTATTTTTCTTATTCATAATCATAAATTCATTATACATATTTAAATATTGTGTCTGGGTTCATAAGTAAATTGAATTTTTTTTGCGGAAAAATTTCATTTGTTTTTAATGCAAATAATAACATGTCGTTTTTCCTATTTATTTTTACAATATTGCACATACATCCCAGTACCCTATAATCACATACATCCTAGAAAATTTTCTTAACAAACTTCAGAAAGATTTATCAAAATCCGAATAATAGTTTAGGAAGAGTATACAGTATACAGCATGTAATTTAATATGAACTTTGTCTAATAGCAATAAAGCTCAATTAGATTCTACGTTTTAGTTAAAAAACGTTTGTATGTTAAAAAGAAAAGAGCTGTTTTTAGGGTTTTCCCGGCAATTATTTTTTCGCGCCCGTAAGAACCACCCTTAGACTTCAACGGACATTTTAAAAAAATAATTGGTTAAATTGATCCAGGCGTTGTTGAATTATGCGCTTAATAACACATTTTGCGATTCATTTTTATATATGAGATGTAAAAAAACCATTATTATTTTTTACTTCTTGAAGGAGTTTATTTTTTTACCAAAAAAATCGAATTACCAATTTTGTGTTTTCTCGACGTTTAATCCGAAGTATGTGTGTGAGCCCAACTTCTATCTTTTTTTTCCACTTTTCCGATCCACTTTTTCTCGGCTTGACCGATTTTATAAAATTTAGAAGCCATTCGATGATATTCCATTAGGACTAGCGATGATTAGTTTTGCACATTCGACCAACTTCTTTGTTTTTATAATTGGCAGAAAAATGCAAAAAATTTTGTTCACATTTTGGCAAGAAAGCCTGAACAGATTTTGGGAACTATAGTGGTGATTAGTTCTTGGTAAAAGTCGACTGGGCCATTTCATCATAATATTTTTTTTAGTGTTTTTTAGTTTTTGATGATTTGCAACATATGTCAATAGACTCCATACCCTAATCGAATATTCTCAAATGTTACTTATAAGCAAGCCATAATTATTAGAAATAATTATTATTCTAAGCCAATGTCAGGAATAATAGAGGCATATAAAAATTTGGGACATTGATATTCTCCAACTTCCCGAATGAAAAGTTTTCATTCGCAAAAAAATCCGAATCGCTATTTTTATTTGTTCGACGTTTAAGTCATTGTGAAGTGGTTGAGATCAAGTTTGAAATAAGTATAGTCGTGTGTGTATGAATGTGAGCCAATTTTTTTTATATTTGGTCTACATTTTTCCTTAAACGGCTGGACCGATTTCAAAAATTTAGAAGCCAATCAATGTACCTTTATTAGGAATAATAGGTTTCACTTTTAGGCCAGACAAGCACATGTTTGTGCACAATAATTAATACAATTACAGATATTATAAATATGTGTGAAAGATACCAATTGGAAATAATTTTTAGTTTTTTAGTGAATGCCGAAACTTGATTTTCGAAAAAACAGTTGAAAATCTTAACTTAATATCTAAATCCCCATTTCGGTTGATTAAACCAACTAGTACACCTATCGTAAAGATTTTGCAACTCGCTTTAGGGCAAAATGATACTTTTAACTAATTTATTAACTTCCCATAGAGTAAGTTATAGTAATCGCAACATGCAAATTTTTGCATATCTTACGTTTCAAAGGTTTCTGAACTTTTTGACATACCTTAAAAAAATTGATATATATATATATATATATATATAAAATATATATGTATGTGTGTGTATGTATGTATGCATGTATGTTTATATACCATTTTTCGTCTACGATTTCGGGCGCTTGGATCAACCGCTTTGAATGATTCAACAAACATTCGATTCCTATTGATATGGAGACGTGCTGATTAATTTTTGGCAAAGGCAGGTCTAGCCATTTTGAAGATTCGGGTCAAAAAGGTCAAAAATGGTAATGGTTAATGATTATTCAAAAAATATTTAATTTGTATATTGACAAAATGCAGTTCCCGTTTAAATTTTTGCGGAGGCAGGTCTAGCGGTTTCAGAGAACGAGTGAAAAAAGTAGTGATCTTTAGACATACGCGCATCAAATTATTAGATATTTTATAGTATGAATTTGTAAAGTATGAATTTTGTTTCGTATCAATGTTTATTCATTAAAATGCGATGAGGCGCTTACGCGCTTTGATATTTCTACACTAAAACACCCACGCAGCACGATTGCTTTGAAAATAACTTTTAAATTTTGCAGTAAAATTCTAAGTATAAAAAAACTTTCGAAAAGAAAAAAAATCGATTTTTTCAAAAAAGTCAATATTTTTCAAAAATTTCAAAATTCTCACAACAATCTCTTATTTTCAATGTTTTCAAGAATTTAAGTTTTTTAAAAACAATCGAAATTTAAAATTTTCAATTTTAGCTACTGGAAGTTCCAGCAATGTGCCTTAAGACACAATGCCATGTACTACTAGTTCTGAATTCTTCTTTCCTCTTGATCATATTTTTAGTGACATATGTCGAACGAAATCGAATCTAGATCAACTTTATCGCTTCGACTTCGATCGGCTATTAGAATCCACTTTCATTTCCCATGGGCCATAATTTATCTTTAATTATTTTAAATGCTTAAATTATTACTCGCATTTCTGATTCATGATTTTCTGTGCAGCTCGGGCTGGATTTAATTTCATAATCGATCGTAAACGTCTCGATAGTTGGTAGATCGATATATTTTCTGCACCAGTAAAATATTGATGAAATGAATTCGATTCGCCTTGAAGGTCTTAATTGGAATTTATTCGAGGAATGGTCATGGAAAGGAATTTATACCATGAATTGGAAAAAGGATTTCTTTGAAATGTTTGTGAATTTTGAATTAAACACTCCTATCGCTATATTCTCATATGTGATCAAAGTTTCTTCTTACATTTCAATAAATTAACAATTATCCAATTGTGTTATATTATTTTTATTCAATGTGTAGAGATTTTGTCAAAATATTCATCAATTATGTGCTATAGTTAGGGCTCACTCTTTGGTAAGTGGCTAGAGCGACTAGACCTGAATCAGAGGTCCCAGATTCGATCCCACTTCGAAGAGCCTCAAGTGGCCTCAAGCAATAGTGACATTGGTTTTCCCTTGAAAATATAGACAGCAATATGTTTCCAAGTGAAAATAGCCCTAATCCGGCATTGCTGCATCAATATAATATTCGCTCTATTACAAAAATTGTCATAATGAAAATTATCACACAGAGATTAGACAACTGTTTGGATTGCCATCTGTAAACCCGACATAGTATTAAGTGAAATCAGCCCAACAGCTTATAACACTCTTAAATTCTGATTGCTGTACAAAACAATAAAATAAAAAAATATTTTTTCCAGGAGGATGAATCATCAGCGCTAACCTGCCCGCCCAAGGGGGCCCCATCTGGATCACCTGCAAGTGGCGCCAGTTCTGAGGCGGACGTCGAATCACTGGACGGAGCTTTGAGGACGGCCAAAAGGATTTCTATTAAGGAGACGTCTTCAAGCGATATGGACACAGGTTAACATAAATATTTATATCAAATTGCTTGTGGTGCAAGTGGTGTAGGGTGATTTCTACGAAAAATTACTTTGACTATCACTTTTTTAAACATAACATTGATATACTATATAGTTTCAAGATTTATAATATTTTTTAATGAAACACTAAGATTTTTGAATTAAAATCCAACTTGAAAAATAATTTTGAGGTATTCTTCATATAATTCTTCCTAAAAATTTCGTGAGTTGATGAGTACATATTAATGTCAGATGGAAGCCCAGCACTTTTTGAATAGTGACAATGCGTAATTATATTTTGCATAAATTAATCATTAAATTAGGAATACCATGGGTATCGATTTCGAAAGCTTTTTTAATAATAATTTGTCAAAACATTTAATTCAAAATCGTAGACTTCTTTTATTTTCGTGTTGCTTTACCTTACAATCAGGTAAAATAACTGTAGATACAAAGTAAGATCCTTATTCTTCTTTGCTTAGAAAATTTGGCTGTTGCTTCCTGTCAGTAGAAACAAAAATAATAGTAATTTAGTATAACAAATTGATTATTACTGGTTTTTTTATTGGTATATGTTACACATGACTCACTCATTTTTGGAATATATAAGCAATCACGTTAATAATAATTCTCTGCCATTTATGGGGTTGGTACGATTTAAAAATGGTAGAAAATTAATGACCGATTTTTGTAAAATTAATAAATACAAAATAAACTATTGTTTGTTTTTCATATTTGAAAGTTTTTCCAACTTTTTTACAAATTTGTACTCACATTAAAGTTATTATATAGACATGGATGGAGAGAGATGTTGCATAAGTCTCTTAAAGACAGCAAAGTTATATTAAGATTATAAAGGCAGCCGACGTGGAATATTTTATTTTGTGTTGACATTTGGATAGTTTTGCTTATTTTGTCTGTTGACATAAGATTGAAACTTGAGAATGGCAAAACATATAAAAGCTACATAATTTTCACACTGGTATAACAGACCTTTTCGCAGATGAAAAGACATCGATGACATATTTATGGCAAAACACTAAAGCTAACATAAATATCTAGCAATATATATATATATATATATATATATATATATATATATATATGATATTAACCAAAATTATATCTGACGAACCATATTTTCTCCAAACACGTACTAAAAGTTTTTGTATTCTTTAAATAAAATTGATTTTTGTTTAATTAAATTGTTTCTCAGTACACCTAATATGGAACAGTTACAGTAATTTGATTTTATTATTAGTTTCACATTAAAAATCATATAAAAATTATTATTAGGTTTCATATTATTACCCCGGAATTACTAATTAATATAAATTATTCTTGTTTTTCTAAGACATTTTTGACAAGAGTTTGTAATGAACTTCAAAATATAGAAGTGAGATGTAACATAAAATTAAAATCTTTTTATTGACACCGTTTTGGGAATAAGAAAAGACTTTGTTATAAAAATGAAATTTAAGGTAAATTCTAGAATTTCTAGACTTCTAGAAGAATATTTCTGAACATGCTCATCCTGTGTCAAATAGTGTTGCAAACCAATAATGGTCATCTTCTTTATTTTAGTACAACTTCTCCATATACTTAGTTTAAATTTCTGAAAGACTTAAGTCAGTCAACAATTTTTTTTATAAATACTTATACACTTAGTTAAATTTAACTAAATATTACGTTATCTGTAGTAAAAAAACAAAATAGGCAAAAATTGTGCTCATTTAATTAGATAATATTGTGTATAAGCATTTATAAAAAAAATTGTGGTAAAATTTACAGACATTATATATTATTTTGATCAACTTAATGTATCAGTTTATTACCCATCAAACATGTCAGAAATGGCAAATTATTTTGAAAGTTATTTCACTTGTCATTATATCATGGGTCACATATACATAATAAGTTTCGCCAATCCCTTCTATTTATAACACTTTTTACATAATATACGATGACAATTTAGTTTTTGTTCACACGGATTCAACAATAAAGATCTTTGAGATCATCAAGGTTATTTTTTTGCTTATGTTCTATATAAAATATAATTATCTTAAGCTGGAGCTTGTAAGACTTTTTCTGTACTGTAAAAAAAATCAAGGGCGTTTACTGTTCTGAAAAGAATAATATAATATATAATATTTAACTTCTACGTGACGAACTAATTAAAATAGACTTAAAATAATAGGTATTAATTTGATACGATGATTTGAAAATTTAATCATTTAAATTAATATATTTTTTTTAGTAAATTTATTCCCATTTTGTTCAAAAAATTACTCAAGTTTATTTCAATAAATTGTTAATATTCATACCTAATAAAATTATTTATTTATTATACTAACTAATTAATAAATATTACTTTGTACTATAACACGTGTAATTACGTTGAAATTGTTTAGAAACTTATTGCGGAAAGAAAGTGATCATCCTATTTTTTATTGGTATATTAGCAACGATTTAAAAAATGATACTGCTTTTTTTAATTTGAAGTTAATGAATTAACAAATTGAGTTAAGAGATTAATAAATAAGTATTATTGTCGATTTTTGAAGAATTCTAAGATTATTATGTTATGAAAATTTGGACACAATTTATTAAAAGTTCAACAATTTATAAAGATTTTTAGTTCAGTTCTAATTTTAACAAATGTTTTCATTATGTGATCGCTAGGACTAAAGTCTATATTTTACTAACTTTAGTTAGTATCTAAAAATCCATTTTTAAAATAAATATAAAATATTATTTCGTTTATTTTAGGTTTACACAACAAAAAGAACGGTATATTAAAAGGTGAGGTGGCGGACGCATGTCTTTCATTGCACGTTTTACTTTTGGTGGAATAATTTATAAAGTTTTTATAGATTTATAGATTTTTTATCCTCATATCTTTGTTAATACATTAATTTAAATTTATATTACAAATCAGTATGAATGAATAGATATTTGATAATCATGTAGTTTGATTAAAATTTCTAACCAGCTTGTTTTTTATTGCTTGCTGTATATCATTAATATATAATCTATAATTATCTGGTAATAACATTTTTTAATTTAATGAATTTGGACATGTGGAATAGTAAATTGTAGAACTTCTTAGCATGTTTGAAATAAATCATATTAATATTCTTTATAATTATATTCTTCGCAATATTTTAGCATCAACTGACCGAAAAAGATATATTTGGGAAAAATAACTATATTGCTATAAATGTAATGCACATTGCATGTATTAACTTTGAAGATTTAGGATTATAAAAAATAAACTGCATTCTCGAATACGGTCGAATGCATCCATATATAATGTAAGGTGAAAAAATTCCTAATAAATATATCAACTAAATTAAATAAATTCCAAGCATCTTTAAAATGCCCATAATCGTCATATAATTTTTTTGGTATTAAGTAATTTTGGGTATTTCAGAACTCTGATGTATTGTAATCCTAAATCATTTGCTTGCCAAGTTATTGGGCACAAAAATTTCAAAACATTTCACTTCTATCTTTCGAAAAAAATAACTTTTTAAATTAAAAAAAAAATCCAGGAAATTTTTGAAAAATGTCTTTTTCATTACAATATTTTGCGATAGTGTATTTTATTGCACATTTAGAATTTTCTTGAAAACTGATTATTAATATTTTGAAATGTTCACTTATATTACCCATATGGTGAAAATTATTTCATGGACAACATTGCGACTGCCTCTATATTTAAATCGTGTTGATAATTTTAATGAAAATGCAATGATTGCATATCTTAATAGTTTTGAATTAACATTTCCGCACGATGAAGTTCGAGTATGATAATAATAACAATAATAAATAGAAGTCTGCCCGAAGGCAGATCCATGGTATGAGAGCACCACAAAATCTATGATTTTCTTCCCCTTCCTTGAATATTATTCCCATTACCGTTTCATTACCATCAATTAATGATCATTAATCACTTTATATTCGTTTTTATAAATTTTCCTTTTCAAACTTGTTCTTCCATGCTTTCTGGTCCTGTGCGAGTATGATCTGGTAACCTTAATAAAATCTGTTCTTTATATTTCAGACTCAGACTTCAACGATAACAAGGACTTCGTCCTGACCAAAATCACCGACACCGTTATCAAACGTGTGAAAAACATCGAAATTTCCAAATACAACCGATCGAATCGAACCGCTGACAACGTGGCCACATTTTACTTCAAACACAGAGACACCGATTCCGAAATCGATCACCGCAGCAACAGCAACGTTGGCTTGACAGGATCAGAATTTGATGCCGAAGAATTCGCCATAATGTCTTCGGAAAGTGACAATGAAAAACAACAGCAGGACATGTCGGAAAAACTGGAAAATATGGTCAACGGCAACGGGCAGCATCATGGTAAACTGGACAACCAAGTGGATAATGCAGGGAATTTGGATAATGCTGTAAATGATAACCAAGAAGTCATTGTTCCTACGGTTAGGAAGAATGCGACGAGGAAGACTCAGGAGAATATTAGGAAACTGGTGCAAGAGGCTGAACATCTGGTAAGAGAAGATACTGATCGCGGAAGAATTGGAAAACAAGGCAGATCTCGCAATTTTGATAATGCTTCAAGGATAAAGGTACGGAATAATAATAATTTATATCTATATTCCAAAAATTTATGCGAGTCTAAAGTAGTGTAATTGCTAAAACCGTGGCCTGGCCAGTTCCTCTCATTATATTAACTAGATGACCCGACAGACGTTGTCCTGTACCCATATCTACAATTTTTTTAATATAATATACCAGTATTTACCCTTTACCTAAAAATAATAATTATTGTTTTTTGAATTACTCTTCACGCCAAAATGCATATATATATATATATATATATATATATATATATATATATATACATTTAAAATATGAGCGATGTTAAATGCAGAACTGCTTTAAATAAAATGATGAGTCTCAATTCCCACACTATATTGGAAAATGAAGTTTTTTAAACGGTTTAACGTAACCATGATCATAACATAACACTGGTACTTCATGTTGGATTAAATTAATTTAATTTTTTATTATTTAAGATATCCAAAATTGCATCTTAAACTTTACCTAATCGATATCGTGAGGGCCGAACTGTATGTATTCATTCTTTACTTCCCAATTGGTTGCTATAAAGTGAAATTTTTGCGAATTTTAAAACTATTGCGGAAAGATTAGTAAAAGATGCAAAGAAATTATATATTGAAAAAAAAACTGTATTGAAAATTTAATACCCGAATCTTGTGTTGGAGCCCCCTAAGGCGTGCGCTCGTATTTTTCGCATGTATCGCATTAAAGGTAGGACCGGCCCTGATTAATACTTAGTTTTATATTTTAAGTGAATTATTTTTTTCATGTGTGTATCATTCAATCTACCATACATGTACTGTATCTTATATTATTTTAATTTCTGGCACATCTCAGCTGCTTTTGGCAATAATAATGCAGACATTTCATTTTTCTAATGAAATGAATGAATTTATTATACATATTCTAATATTGTCTAGGTCCATAAGTAAATTGAAAATTTTGGCAGATAATAGTTTTCATTTGTTTTCAATCGAAACAATGACATGTGGTTTTCTGCAATTTGTTCCATTTATTTCTACAATATTGCCCATACATCCCAGTACTTTATAATCACATACATTCTAGAAAATTTTTATAACAAACTTCAGAAAGTTTTATCAAAAACTGAATAATCGTTTAGGAGGAGTATACAGTGAGTGCTTGTAATTTAATATGAACTTTATATGATAGCACTAAAGCTCAAATTGATTCTACGTTTTAGTTAGAAAACGTTTGTATGTGAAAAAGAAAAGAGCTGTTTTTAGGGTTTTCCCGACGATTATTCGATTTTTGATTGCCGTAAGAACCACTCTTGGACTTCAACGAACATTTAAAAAAAAGAATTGGCCAAATTGGTCCAGACGTTGTTGAGTTATGCGCTTACCAACACATTTTGCGATCCATTTTTATATATAAGAATAAAAATCATATTTATTCTTTTTTTCTAATGGTATGGCCTAAAACCATAAAATGTCTATGCGATGTAATTGCGCCAACTTGTAAGACCTTTTCTATAAAAATCTATTACCAATATGTTCCATTTTTTATTACCACACACGTCAAGTTGTAATTTCCTATAAACATAATTTTCCTGTGTATAACACGGTTCCTGTATAATAAAAAACCACTTCAATGGTTAGAAGAAACGTTATAATGAATATTAATTTAAACTCTTATACTTTTTCTGCGATATATTTCTTCATTAATCTTTCATTACTTGTTAATTAACTATAGATTAATCATGTATATACGTCGCAAATACACTTTGAATCATTGACTATAAAATTTAATAACGAAGTGATTAATTACTAGAGATTATATGTTTAGATAGGTTTTGACGTAATAATGTCTGTATATTTTATTAAAATATTTGCACATGTAGGTTAATTATTAGTTTTTCATTATTGCCCTGGATTATGCTTGGTTTTTATCATTAACCTGCTTTTATTGAAGTTGGCAACTTTTCTTTTATGATGTACTCGTACATGATATTGTATTCCTAATTTCGTTGGAATATAATTTCACTTCAAATATTTTTCCTATTAGCGAGAATAATTATTAGATTTGAGAAATTTTGGTTTATATTTTTAGCAACTTGAGTCAGGAAACGATAAAAACCTTTATTATTAATTATACTTAAAACGTTTAAATGTTTTCTTTTGTTTAATTCAATATATGATTCTAAACCAATATGTTCTCTTATAATTAGATTGAATCTGTTTAAAATGATCTACTGCACATTATGTCCAATAAGATCCAAAATTGGTGCACATATTACATGATTTTTGATGCTTCTACATCAATAGCTAAAAGTAAGATTTAGAATTATTGTCGATCGAGTTTTTTGCACTAAGTATTACAAAAGTTATGTTCTGAATTCTGTTATTTTTTATTTTAGGTAATATTTCCGTTCAAATGATAATTAAAACATATAATACTTTCAATTTATATTTATTTTTATTGCCGGGAATTATTCAACTTTCTCAGGCACCAAAGCAGTAAATAATTTTAAGAAAATCATAATTTATATTATTTTGAAAAGCTTTCCATAGCGTAACGGTCAAACGCACAGCCTCGTGTGGACGGAGTCGTGTATTCGAATCGCGCTCTGACATAGGACAGCAGCAATGTTTGGTTTCTACTTAAAATTATAGATCAAAAATTTGTTTCCAATTGAAAATAAGCATATTCTGGGCACTGCGGTGTGTAATGGCAATGCTAAATCTCTGACACTTCTTCTTTGAATTGAGTTGGAACTTAACTCAGATCACAGGACTGTACAGGATTAGGGCAGAACTTTCTATTATTATTTTGAAAACTAAAAACAAACAATTATTTCTATTGCTGAAACTTTATACGTTAGATTATTAGATAAAATGAACAAAAATTATTTATAAAATTTTCCTTCAAATACAATCAGAAATAACAATAAGCATATACTAGATATTCACATAAATTAGGCAGCCAAATTTTTATTGTTTATTATTACACATTTTGTGCAATATTAATCGCTATTTCCTGATTCTATCACACTCGTTTTGCGCTATATTGAAAAGTAAATAGTTGGATCACCTTTTATATAAATAATTTTATAAATACTTGTAAATGTTCAAGATTAGGGGTATATAGATTATTTTTTAAGCCAACATTACAGTATCCAACCATTTTTTTGTTTAATGATATAATAGAAATAAAGACTTCTTACTTTCGAATATGAAATGAACGAAAGAAGCATAAAATAAATAAGTTTTTACCTTAAGTGAAATAAAATAATATACAATTTTTGCTCGTACGATTTTGAAATGCGCAAGAATTCTGAGAGGTCTGAAATACCCAAAAAAATTATTCGACGATGCTTGGCATTTTAAAGAAACGTGGAATTTATTTAATTTAGTTAATATATTTATTACGAAGTTTTTCATCTTACATTATATATGGATGCATTCGACCGTATTCGAGAATGCAGTTTAGTTTTTATAATAAAAATACTTTAATATATTATATGCTATAATAGAAATACTTTTAACCTTTTATCTATTAAAAACAAACTATTTATTATATAATATATGTTCGAAACTATTTGTAAAAATTGGTTCGGTAACTTTATTTTTTGCGCTGAGCTATTATTATTCGACGATTTTAAATACGATATTAATTTTAGATTCAATTACTTTTCTTTTTCGATTTATTGCTTGATAAAGATAAGGAACAATAAATTTTATCTTCAAGTTTAAATTGTATATACGATGCAAAAATGAATCTTTCACGTTTTGTTTTGTAAATAATTTGCAGAATTTACTACAAAATTGTGTTAAACATATATGTTTGAAAATACTTCAGTTTCTCATTTAATGTTAATTATTTATTTATTTTTAACTGCCCGTTGGGTTTTTATAGATTTATTTTGAACATATGTACTAATTTAAAAATTTTTTGAGTTCCGTACCAAGATTTTCAATTTATAAAGTTTACTTACACGGTTCAAACAAATTCTAAAATTTTCTAAATTTTTTTCAAAATTTTCAAAAATGATTAAATTTTAATACTTTAAATATAAATTTTAAATTTACATTTTAGTTTAAAAATGTACATATTTTGTATTTGTTATTGTAATCGTAATCCTCAGTTGGATTCATTCAGTAATGTAAACATTTTCAAGTGTTTTGAGCGATAAGATCGCTACTATATATTATATGAAGGAATACATATACAGAAACTATAATTATATATTTGAAAATATTCAAAACTATTGTTATTAATCATTGATCAATTTTTATTGAATATTAATTGTTTTTCTCAAACATTTTATTCTGATACGGGAAGTTCCTGCAATTTGCTTTAAGGCACGACGCTATGCACCACTAGTTTGTTCTTCATTAATAAAAATAAAACCTTAATTTCAATTATTATTTTAGGAATGGCTCCGCAAATCCAGTTCGCCCTGCGGTCTCTCTACCTCCCCATCAGGCAGCGCCCCCCTCGACAGTTGCGACGCATCAGGCGAGTGCACCTCCAGCAGCGACAGCGAAGCCGGAGGAGGCGCCCATGCAGGATCGGCCGAGAGCTCAGGCGAACCTTCGGGCTCTGTGGCGACTTACCGGCGTGCTCTTGGAGACTCGCAAGCGACTTCCACGGAATTGATCGACACGGATAGTAATGGAGCGCCCACTGTTCCTCTGACGGATGGGGGCAACGGGGGTAGTTCGCCGGATAGTCCAACTCCAGTTAAGGTAAAGGATACATTAGTAATTAGAAAATTTATAGGTGATATTTTTACCAATGTAAGTTGAATTATATTATACTCTTGGTAGATTCTCCACTGGGTATATCTATTAACCCAGTGATTTACAACCTGTGGGGCGCGCCATACCGTCCTAGGGGGGGGGCGTAAAGCTGTTTCAAAAACATTATTTTTAAATGCTGAGTAAGTGTCAAAAACAAATCAGCAAAATACTTAAAATACTTCTAAGAGTGTTCGAGCTCAAAAAAGAAATTGCTATATTCCTTGCTGATAACAAAAGAGACGGAGCAATCTTGTTTTAGGACACAAACTTCCTTGCAAAATTTGCGTATTCAGTTGATATTTTTCAAAGACTTAGCGATTTAAATAAATCAATGCAAGGATCTAAAATTCGTGCTTTTGTTCAGAAAGACAAGATTACGGCTTTTATGAAAAAATTAGAACTGTGTATAGCTAGTATCAAATAACTTTATAACTTTAACATGTTTCCCACTTTTAAACTTGTGTTACTGATGAAATAGAAGTAAGTAAAGATCTCATTATTATATCAGTCATATGACTAGTCTCCGAAACCAATTTTAGCATTACTTTATCTAATTACGTCCAAATACAAATGGATTAGAAATCCATTTGTCATTGAGAAACATGATGATTTTGGTCATTCAAAAGCAGAGCAGAAAATGATATAATTGATTTATCTAGTAATAGCACATTGGAGCAGATGTTTCAGGACGAAAATATATTGTTAAGTTTTGATTACGAGTAAAGGACGATTTTCCTACTTTGGCAAATAATGCTTTAGAAATTTTATTACCATTTGTGAGATCTTACTTATGTGAAACAGAAAATTCTTATAATAAATAGTTATGTTTGTATGTATATTTTTTATAATACTGCGTATTATATGGCATAATTTCAGTTATGTTAAGTATATTAAAATTAAATTGTTAGAAAAATAAGAAGGGGGGCGCAATATTTTTTTTATTCGAAAGGGGGGCGCAAGGAAGAAAAGGTTGGAAACCGCTGTATTAACCCTTTTCTGTCGTTTGACTCTCAGCCATCAAAGCTTTTTTACCATTCCGGTTGTATGTCTGCTCTCAGCCACCACAGCAAAAAACTATACGAATCGTTTTCATACAGCATATAGATATTATAAAACATAACTTCTATACAAAAACAAATACTAAATAAGTGTACTGAATAAAAATTTATCTGAAGTTCACAAAACAATTATTAAATCTTGTTTACACATCCTAAACTTGCATGTTCTGCTCTATCGACGATAACCATCTCCAAATTTAATTCGACCAAAAAGGGTTGACTGATGATTATAATTTTATTCTATTCTCATATTTTGTTAACAATTTCTGCTAATTATTTTCAATAACAGATCGCTGAGTAAATGTATTAAAAATCAATTAAACCAGTTGTAAATTGTTGGCCTCAAGGAACCTTTTCGATTATCATAGATTCTGATTAGAATTGCCTAAGCGTGCTACACAATTTCAAACTTCGGTAGTTTTTAATCCTATAATATGCCTATAATATTTTAGTGTGTTGTTTTAGGTTTAGAAATTTAGCGTCATGCAAAGTTTTGACAAACTCGTCCAAAAAAATTTCAACAAGGCCGGGCAGTCAAAAACTAATAGCACGATTCCCAACTAATATATTTCGAATAATGCTCGAGTTTTTAAAATCGATTTAGAATTAGAGCTAAAAAGCGGACAAAAAATGTGCCCCTTTCTAATAAAAAAAATTCTTACACCCCCCTCAATTTTTTCAACAATTTCATTTCATAAATACTCCACTGATATTATCAGACTACAAATTAACATGCAATACTATGTAAAAATATGCATAAAAATAATTATTTTCTTGTTTGTTTTTTTATATTATTTCAAACATGTTGGTTTATTTTTGAAAATAGTATTATGGAAACAGCCGTACGACCCCACTTGCAACAGTATTAGGCCTTCCTGGGGGGTCGCTCTCCACAGGTTGGAAACCGCTGGTATACACGGCAACACAATTATTTTACCTGTTTGTGTATTATTTACCTCTTCTTGTTACAAAATCACAATAATAAATTTATATGCAAGTTTCATTCTAAGTTTTCAAAATTTTATTGTACATTGAATACCACCTCATTGTTAAAGGTGAGAATAATCCTTAAAGGTTTTCTATGATTGACCATCAAAAATAAATTTATAGAAATCCATTACATATTTGAAATCTTAATAATTTTCATCAGCAGATATGAAAGGTTTTCTTTGAATTTATATATAAAATATTATAAACAAATTGCTTTATAGATTACAAAAAGCAAATGTTTTTATCGATATTACAAAGAAATAAAATGATTGGACCACCAAATGCAATTAATAATATAATATAAAGCAAATTATAAATAACTAAGGTACATGAATAAAAACTCAACTATTAGCTTCAAAATTAAAATTGATATAAAGGTAACAAAATGTAAATAATGAAAGATGCAACGTTTCAATACTTTTCCAAACAATCTGCAGATTTGGTTTTATGAATGATATTGTATATCAAAGTCAATAAAAATGGAACAAATTAGGAAAAATAAGCAATTGTGAAAAGCTGATGGTGGCTTTTTAATGGATATGAGTAAATGACTTTATAATGAGATGACTTTGCAAAAAATATGAAATATTGGAACTATATCGTGAAATGTTTTGCTAAAATTTACATATATGTTACAAAAGTATCAATAAGACTTCAAAAGCAAAAAGTATGATACTGAAACTGTTGAACTGTATTTAATTTTCACCCAGTATTTAATTTTCACCCAGTATTTGTCAGAGTTCAGGTTTTATATGAGTCAACTTATAAATAGATGTCTTTAGAAAGAATATCTGTTATTAGTACTGCCTAATAAAATGTTATGCTAAAAATACATATAGGTTAGACAAGTTTAGGGAAAAAATTTAAACATTAAAATTTGGAATAATTCTCTTGAAATTTTGTATTTAATTATTACCAATATAAGTATTATTAGTTTTTGTCCACGTTCAAATTTATCTAAAACCATCTGTTATTGAGCATAATGAAAAAAATTAAAATATTTTTTTACCTAGGTTATTATGCGATCTGGTAAGACATCAGCAACTCGTCCATGGTCCGTCTCATGTGTGTCCCAACTTACACCAAATGGTGAAATGTTGAACGTGGAAAACTTACAAAATGAAACTACAACTGATGGATTACAAAAGAACAAAATGGCACAACAATTCAGTCATTCAGAATCGGCTTTACATATTTTGGATAACATGGCGAGCTATCACGGAGATTTCGGCAGAACGGATAATAAATTCGATATCAGGAAGAAAAAGCTCAGGCTGAAGAAAAGACAGGTTGGTCTATTAATTTTACCTGATTATAAATTTATGGACCTAATCTAATATTTGCCTGTCTTAAAATATTTGTATAAAGGTTAGAAATGTTTCCATTTTCCTATTGTAAAGTCAGAACTTCTAAAGTAGTAAATTTTAGCTGACAACTTATATTTGAATTTACATATTTAAATATCCTAGTCAATTTAAAATGGAATTTAAATATTTGTATCTTCGTAAGTAAAAAGTAAACAGTAATCGTTATTATATTTTTTAACAGACAAATATTTAACTATTAGCGAAATAGTATTTGCTTGAAGTTAAAACCTGATGTTAGAAGAAAATGCTCATTAGACGGTTTTCCTAAACGAGTAGTAATTTTGAATTTTTGATCAAATCATCTCTACTTATTAATATTATTTTGATTATCACTGGTAACTTAGCTAAAACAATTACAAGTTTTGAGAAAAGTTAACACTCCGAGGAAAGAGAAATTTATTGTTCAAAATCTAACTCTTTTTGCATTACTTTTCTATGCATATTTGCGCTCATCAAGGCAAATTATAATTTAATTAAAAATTTAACCAGTGTTTTAGTTTTTCATTTTAATATTCTGGTTAATCAAATAAAATATTCAAAAAAAGTAACGGTATTCGTTTGGTGATGAATACCTTCCCTGCCTTTATTGTATCCTGGAGGGGATGATCCGAGCATTTTTGCTAATGCAAAATGTTATTGAATTTTAGTATGTCTTTTATATCAAAGTGTTGTTTAATCAAAGTTATTCTGTTTGAAAATGAGTGCTAACAAATTATTAAATATAATATTATTTTGATGTTTGCTGTTACAATTTAGCATCCTTATTGATATAAAACACAGGTAAAGTTTTATATATATACTTACCATTAAGGTGAAGAAGTTTGAATGGAAAATTACTACTGTGTTCTTGAACCGGAATTGCAAAATTTTAGTTTGATATAAAGTGATTAATTTACAAATGTTAAATAATATGTCTATGTTTTTATTATATATATAGAAACCAAAAGTTGTTAAACAAATTTTGTGAAAATTAACAATATGTATCTAAAAAAAATATAATCAGTCAGTTTGTCTTTAATTTTTTTTTGTAGTCAAACAAAATATTATTAATAAAATGATGTAAAATCTGCATATTTTCACTAAGCAGCATTGATTGCTATATTTTAGAAATTCAGATTCATTTTTCAAGATGATATCATTAATTTATATATAAAGGAACATATATGAAATATTTATGAAACTTCTGTAGTAAAAAGTTGAAGTATATTGAAGTAATTATTACTACTTACGATACAAATCATTCTATTAAACTAAATGAAAAAATATTTTTTAATTTACAAGAATTTATATGGATTGTCGTTTTCTTGATTGTATTCTCGAAAAAAAACTATATAAAAAACTTAAAACTAAAATTCTGAGGATTTTATCGTATGAAAATTTCAGTGTTTTTCTTCCTTAGCAATATTTCTTCATATTTTTTATCATCATTTTTGAAATTGTAACTTATTATTAGAACTGATTATTACTTAGCATAGTGAACAGAATTTTTATAAATTATTAATTCTTTTTTCACATTTAGGGAAGAAAAAGTGAATCCAGCAACGATGCCTACGCAGTCGAATCATCAGCCGGACAACACTCCCCAAAACAAGGAAGCCTGGTAAAATCCCGATCGTTTTCTGGACACTCTCAGATCAATTTAGAACGCATCCTCTCTTCACCGACCCTAAAACACCTCACTAATGAAAAGTGCCATTTAACCACTATGCCAGTAAATTTTGAAATCGGTGGAAATATAACAAATGCACCAATCCTGGAAAATATTGTCACATCTGAAGAACACAGCAGTAGCTTTTCTGAAGCTTGGGATAATTATCAGGATAAGTACTTGTCAGAGTCTTATTCAGAATGTGTAGATACTGAGGCAGCAAGGAGGTTATTAGATTTTGGTGAGGATTATAGGAATTATATAGATTCACAATCAGATTGTTGCTCGTCTTTGTCAAACTTTGGTACAAATCTGGATGTTGGCAATAAGAAGTTCTTGAAAAATTTGATAGCAAATTCACCTGATTACATCAGAAAATCTATAGATGATTATTCCTTTGATAATTCTGAAGACACAGATTTAGATTGCCGTAGAAAGATTAGATCTGATTTGCATCAAAGACGTCGCTCAAGCAAGGAAAGAAGAAGCTCCAAATTGACTTCAGATAGTGACTCAAGTAAAAACTCTTCGAAACGCAAAAATAGTTGTGGAATGAAAAATAATTTAACAGATATGGAATCCATGAAAAGAAAAAGTAACAGTAAGCTTAAACTCAAGATGCGTTCTAATACGATGACTGACAGTGATTCGGATTTGGATGAGCTACGAAGACTGGTGACCGAGTCTAAAGTTCAATTGGACAGAAGCGAAGCCTTGTGGTGCAGCAACGATCCCAAATCAGAAATGGACAGAGGAATTATTCTCCAACCAAGGGACTATGTAAGAAATTTTAACAAAGTATTGCATGGCAGTTTGATCGTTTTGCTCCCTATAGTATTATGCTCTATTATGCTAGAAAATCTACTGCAGAAACGTTTTGTTTGAATTTTTGCATTGTAAATTTTTTTGATGCGTGCTAATTTTTTAATCTTTAAATATATAATTAATTTATATAAGTTACTTTTAATGATACACTTCCATAATGTGATTTAACAGTATTTTTAATGTACATATGATGTAATCTTGCAGTATTTAATACAATATTTATATATTTGATTTAATTTTTTGTTGTTGTTTTATTCATTTCTTATATGCATTACATACTATATTTTTTATGCATATGGGTTATATTTGTTTTGTGTTAACTACTACTACTAAATTTTTGTCGATTCTAATTTAACTTTGCTTGTACTAATGTTTTGCTTATAATTAGCACGCATATCATTTAATTTAACTTTTAACAAAAACATCAGTATTAGATTTAATAGCATTCTAGATCTAATTTTAAGATATTTGTAATCAACACTTGATGAAAATAACTCATGGTAATAATGAATTTATTAGGAGCTATTAATTGTGTGAGCTTTAATATTTCCTGTTTGTTTTGCATGTATTTTATAGAGTAATTTTTACAGTTAAAAGAACAATGCTTTTTATGAATTTAGATTATAATGCATTAATGCTAAAGAGTATTATCAAATAGAAATATATGACTTTAATCTTCATAAACAATCATGATGGTTCTACTACATTACATGTGTGGTAGTCTTAAACTTAAACTACTTAAACATCTTTTTTGCTTAAGAAAAAATATTCAAAATTAAAAAGATTTTAAATGTGAGCTCGCATAATTAATAGACATCCTTATATCGCATCTCCTTAGAATTCTCGTATTTGCTAGATATCCTTATTATCAATTGATAGATATCCTTATTATCAATTAATAGATGTCTTTATTATCCTTCGAAACGCATCTCCTTTTAATTTTTGTAATTCTATGTATTTTTGTCTTTTAATTTCTCTCATTCAATAGTAGCATTTGTATTCCTTGCTATGATGCGTATAATGTATGCTGGTCATTTACTTATATGTTATCCTACTTTTGTGTCTGTCACAAAAATACATGAAAGCATAGAATGATCATCATAATCAATTAGCTCCAGATAATTTTCTTCTTTTTCTATGTTTATTATTCTGTTATTTTCAGTTCCATATAATAATCATATCGTCTGCAAATAATCAATTCTTTTATATTTATGGCTCTTTCAGTTTACCTTTTTTCAAATAATCTTTATATGGATTTATTATCATGGAGACATAACATTGTTCATCCTCAAATGCTATGGCAGCTTTTATTTCTAAATGTTTCAAATGATGATTTCAATTTGCTTGAGCTAAAAGTGCAACGTTAGTAGTGCAGATATACACCAAAATATATAACATTTAAAACCTTAGTGCTAAAATATATCAATCATATGTTCTGTTCAAAGTGTAGTCCTATGATATGTGCTAGATCTCATTATCGATTTTGCTCCTTATTGGCATTTAAGTTGTCCTTTCCTTCATAGTTCAAATTGATTTGTGATATCACATCACTGATTATTTTACAGGGTCCAATTCTCTTGTCTATGTAGAGAGAATTTCTTATGAAATATTGAGCCATCAGCCATGTTTCAAACATTATATTTTTTGGTTTTAACTCGAATGCTTTATCTTTATATATAGAACAATTTTTTTGATAACAACATATGTTTCAATGCCTAATCCTGCTAGAGCAATGTTTTGAAGCTATTCTAAAAATACAGTGTTTAAGTAAGTCTTGAAAATATGATTGAAGTGTTCAAGAACAATAGAATTTAAAGTGGAGGCCAATTTGTCGACCACAAGGAGTTTACTTAAGCATTCATTGTTATTTATTTTGTTTACTAATAGTAAATACCCGGTTTTTCTTTGCAAATTAATTCGATATATTCTTTAGAATAAGTAAGTAAAAATATATTTATAATGAATTGAAGGACAAGATCAGAATGGTTAGGGAAAACTACTTATATGATAAATACTTATGTCCAAATTTGTATTGCGATGCTACACTATTATTGTTGTTTAATTTACTCCTTTCGTATACTTACCTGTAATGTTATTTCCAAAATTATTACCTAATAAGAGTACTTTATGAAAATTTATCTTATCCATTTTTCTTTGCATAATCATATTTAAAATAGTTAAAAGATGATGATATTGATAGAGAAAAAATAGGGAAGTCGAAATGACAAATAATAGTATAAATTGCAAAAGTGTTGCAAATTTTCAATTAAAAAGTTGTATTTTTTTTACTATTATATACCAAAACTTTAAAAATAATTTTTCATATATTTTTTGTGAATCGGTTGGGTGAATAGTTCAAACGTTTGATTGTTTTGTGTTTAAGAATTGAATTTCTATAAAAGTTATGGAATATTGGATATTAACAAATTTGTATGATTCTTGAACGAGGTATTAATACATAACAATATTTTATTTTATGACAAAGTTTTATATATTTTGTAGAGGCACTTTTCCCAAAGTCGAAGTTTATTTGGACATGTTGATACTGTTGAAGATACAATTTGTATCTAATTAATAAAGCCTTTCTAATACAAAACAATTATAAAGTTTATATGAACCACTATGTAGAATACTTAATTAAAATTGAATTCAGTTAACACACGTTATGCAACCCTGGGCAAAATATGATGGATTTGGTTCACGTTTCAAAGAAAAAAAATGTAAATTAATATTATCTATAAAAGAACTTCTATAGTTTTTTTAAAAAAGAAAGTAGATCAAAATTAAAATACAAACATAAAATAAAATTATATTACGTAGCTAAAGAACAAAAATGTTTATTCAAAGAACAAATTGTATCTGTTCAATTAAAAAACAAGACTATTCAAATTCAATTATGTTGTAAAAAACACAGTTTGCTTTTCGTCACAGAAGATTGTCCCAACATTTACTTAAAGAGTTTTTCTTTTCAACGAAAAATAAAGTTTCTTGTAGCATCTAATATGGCTTCCACCAAGAACCCATTAAAACTCCTTTCTCCCTCAGAACAGTTTTTTTTTTTTTAAAAAAATAGAGCTTTGGCTTTGTCAATCAAATACATAGTTTTGGATATTTGGCTAATCATATTTCTATTAAATGGTGACCATTTAATGGTCACTACCATCTACTTTGTTTGAAATAAATTGCAACTACACTAGTCCAGCAATAGAATTCTACCATTTGAGAACACTTTGGTTATGGCTAACAACTCCTTTCAAAAATATTAATAGCTCTACTCCAAAACTTTGCGATTACAAATGTTTACGATGCACAATGAAAAATAGTAATAATTAAGTCCAAAAAGCAGAAAACAAAATCAGGTGAAGAAGTATAAGTGTTTTATGATAAAATGCTTGTTAATAATCTATTCTTTGCATGCTTATTTTGGATCTATTTATTAATATAGTAGATCTTCATTAACCTGATACCTGTAACACTTTAACAATCCCTGGTTTCAGGCCGAAATAATATTAACCTGCCGCGAGAACATCAGATGCCTGGAAGCAGTCATGACCAGAGCCTGCGGCGCAATCCTGACCGATGTCCAGGGCCAGAATTTGCGCGGTAAGTTCATTGCTTCAACTCCATTGGTTTCTGGCTTGAATAAACCAATTAAAAAATCAGTAATAGAAACCGAAAAGATAGAAGAAAATTTTGAAGTTAAAAGGAATGGCAAGTTTAAGTCGGTTCAGCCTGTTGTTAAGAAAGCCAAGATGTCTCATAAAGAGAATTTAGTTGAGCAAACTAGTAAGGGTTGTAATTGTGGTAATGCTGATAAAAGTTCCAATTCCCAAACCGTTTACAATGTTAATATAAATAAATCGAATGGTAAAACCAAAAGTAAAAGAAAACCTAGTAAAAAATCTCCTAAATCACAAGGTTGTAAATGCAACAAAAACATTTACAATAAGTTATGTGATATCTCAAACCAAATACAAGATTTTTCCAAAACTGAATCTACTTTAAAAAATACAATAAATGATGATGAGCTTATCTCACATTTAAGTACATTTTTCAAATCGCTTCGAGTCACATCAAATTCAGAAAACAAAAGTATCATTTTGAATGATTGTGGTGAATTAGTAACAGCATGTAAATGCCATCCAATTGCCAAGTTCATTAATTTTACTATTAATTATATAACAGAATGGAAAAATTATATTTGGAATTGTAGTTTATTCACTTTTCTTTTAAGAACTTTACAGCAATTTATATTTATGATATTTGGAATTAAATTTCAAATTACTCGAACTCTCAAGCGAATGTTGCTGCCTTTTTAAATCGTGCAATATTTTAATACTTGCTTAGGTTTATATGCAAATGCTATAAAAAAACATACTTATATGCTTTATGAGGAACTTTTTTAAAATTGCCATACATATATTCATATGTTTGTTTAAGCAAATGTAAAAATAAGTTTTTGAGCATATAGTATAATTTTATATAGCATTGCTATGGCAAGGTTTTGTTGCTTTTTGGTGAATGTTTAACGTTTTTACTCAAAAAGATATTTAATGTTTTTAGTAATTAGTTTTTAATCTATCCCATTTAATGGCGTGTTTTAATTATACTCATTCATTGTTAAATCATATGGACAGAAGCAAAATGTTATGAAAATTAAAAAAAAAATGAAAACAGTGGTGATTATTCAAATATATATATATATATATATATATATATATACATATATATATATATATGAATATAATTTTTTTATTACATTAAGTAAACGTTTTTAAATTCACATACATTTGAATCTGTCCATTTTCATGTCATTTTATTTTACTCGTAAGTGTATTTGAATGTTATTTTAAAAATTCAAAGTATATAATATGAATCATGTTACATCAAGTTATTCTAAATTTTCATTTGTATAATAATGTAATTCTTCATGTTATTATAATTATGATTAACATTACTGCTATGTCAAACATTATGCATTAATAAAATTGTATCATATTGCTTGCTCGCTTTCATTGTTGTTGCACATTTCTAAATTGCTTGCAAATATTGCATGACTAATGTTTTAAAAAACATATTTAAGCACTAATCATTATTCATACACCTCCTATAATCATTTGTTCGGGTGACACCCAATTATTCTGTGTTTGATTGGATTTAATTTTGATTTGAAGCACCTATCATACACAATTTTATCAACTTAAATAGCAGCCAGAATATTCGAATTTATAAAAATTCAAAGTGTGAATAAACTTGAGTACCAATCTCATTTTTTTACAAAAAAAGATGTTTTTCTCTGTCTGTTCAAAATAAGAAAGTGTAATATTTTTTTTATAATTGTACACATATCAGGTAAAGACTCACTTATTTTATTTTCACCAATCTCATTTTTTTACTAAAAAAAGACATTCTTCTGTTTCTGTCCAAAATATAAAAGTGAAATAATTTTTTTATAGTTAGTAATACACATATCAGGTAAAGAATCACTTATTTTCTTAAAAGCACATGTTTTTTATAAAATATTTTTAAAAGTATGTTTAACAAATATTATATAATAAACCATTTTAAAAATATATGATATAGTATAAAATATATCTAATAAAAAATTAAATATTTTTAGTAACTCTGAGCGTGCTTTCATGAAGAATTATTTCCATTTATTATAACGTTCCAAAAAAAATTCATTTCTCCTTCAGAAAATATGCTATGATTAGTTTGTTGCATGGTATCTATATTTTTTAATGGATGTCGTATTGTGTTGCAAAAATCATGTCTGAGACATTATGAACTACATTTTGCTTTGTGTGACTCATTTATTTAGTTATATTTCACTTTCTTTTTTTTTTCAAATTATCTAATTTATTTTGATCTTACCAAAAGCATTTTAAAAACTTAAATGAAGCTCGAATAAGATTATGGTTGATTAGTTTTTTTGCGCTGATGGGTTGAGCAGATTCTTTTTAGTAACAGTCAAACAATTCTTTTGGCTATATTTATTTGTAAATCTGTAAAAAAAACTGTTCAATAGATGCCAATTTTGACGCTAATCGTACGTGAATAATTATTTCGAATATACTAAAATTCTAGAATACTTATTCAGAATAAAATGTGATACTTAATAGACATTTCAAACATAAATTTTATTAGTTTGGTCTTTATTTAGTGTTAACTATATATTTTTGACCCATTTTCTCAAAAAGTCCTCGATCGACTTTAATACTTAGTTGCAATAAAGATCATTCGGGCTTTCTCAAAATGTACTAATCAATTGAAAATACCTGAAACTTATATAAAGGTATAAGTTGAGAATTCCTTTGATTAATTTCTGGTTAAAGTCGATATAGCACTTTTCTATATTTATGTTCATGAAATTTATCTTGTCAACTGTCAACTGATTAAAGTTATATCTGAATTCCTGGTGAATAAGTTGTACACCTTACTTTATTTTTACCAGTGAACTAATTTAAATGCTAATAATAATTCTTTTAAAATCTACAACTATAACAAAGTAGGTTATTAATTCGAAGGCTATCGAAAGTATTACTTGTTGCTGATTAAGTAATTTTCAGTCCTTGAAAAACGCCTCTTGTATTGATTTGTAGTTTGTAGTTCATGTTGTTAAGAAATTACGCCTTCTCGTGTATGTAGGATCTCGTTTGAAATTTTTTATACAAAATGCATTTTGTCCAAAACAATCCATGGATTTAGTTTTTGAATATAATTTCATGTGTTATATATTTTGTCTCTCATTAGATTTAAGGAGCAATTTATAACTCCACTCACATATTGGAAAACAACGCCATCGTAAGGTTTAGATTATTCAGCAGGTTTGTCCTAAGAAATTTGTAGAAATGTTGGTATTTGTTGTTTTTGTTTTTGATCAGCTATCAGAATTTTGATGTTCTATAAGCTTTTTATCTACAAATGACTAGAAGATAATCCAAATTTTGGCCTATTTTAGTTTTGATTTATCCTTTCTTTTTAACAATTTCCCTTTTAGTCTTCATGAATCGTTGAAATTATTAACAATAATGGCTTGAGTTCCCACTTGGACACATATTTTCAAGTCAACATTAATTACTCTACTACTTGATATCTGGTTGCATGCAAAACAAGATGAATTGAACTCTTCGGTTGCAAGGCCAAAGTTCTGTACCTTGCGCCACGTACTACCCAACTTGCAGAAATGAAACAAAATTGGTTAAATACGATTTAAAACAACAAATACATAAATCAGTTTTATATTCAGAAATACTGATATTTACTAGAACTTCATTATTTGATTATACGTTATAATAACTTTAATATTATATTTTGGCTGTATATTTTTATATATATATTCGATTTTAAGTCTAGAATAAATTTCTGATTTTTTTAGTAAAAATTAGCACTTGAGCCAAACAAAGTTAATATTGCTTTTAGCAAAAATCCGGCACAAAAGTTTAGATCCTAGACTCGGACAAACCGGGACCTATGTCACCTTTATATTTTTTACATACATTTATTTTCAGGATGAATAATTGCCCCTACCTATAAAGGATTTGGGGTCCCAAAAATTTTAACTAACTTTATATGTTTTGATTGCAATTATATTAAATTTCGGACTGTGAAAATTTCAGACTAAGCAAAAACGTTCAGTACAATAAGACGTGCGTGAGAGAATTGTTGAATTGATAAATAAGAAGCCATAAATGAAAATAAATGAAAAATAATTAGATTGCTTTAGATGAAAATTGCATTGCATATCCAAATAAAAAATAATCAATTGATCGGATTTTAGAATCGGACTGATAAGTAGAAACCAGTTACATATATGCATATATTTTTTTATAAAAGTCGAGTAATTGTTTGTGATATATATAATAATAAATATTTTATAAACTAGTAAAAACTATAATACAAATTTAAAAATTTGTGGTATTTTTAAAAGTCATATAAAACAAATTACTAGAACTAATAACTATTTTTCAAGTGAACCAATACATTTACAGTACAGACCGTGGTTCAAAACATAACTCATTATCCTTTTCTATTTATTATTATTTTTTAAAGTTTTTAACTTCCCGAAGAAGAAATCGCGAAACAATCCGATTTGCTAATTTTTTATTTTAAGTGACGTTTCAAGTCATTCTGAATCGAATGAAACCAAATTTGGAAAAGTTATGTGTATGCTGTATGTGTATATGAACTTATTTTTAACATTTCGTGAATCTTTTATCAAAAACGGTTGGACCGATTTCAAAAATTGTAGAAGCTATTCGATGTGACTCGTTAAGGATTAGCGTTTTGTGCTACGATCGGCCAAGCTGTTTCTTTGTAATTAGATCAGAAAGGTGTTAAATTTTGCGTCTTAAAATTCGGTTTCACAAATTCAAAAACTGTTCGAAAGATATTGGTGGGAAATCGCGTTGATTTGGCCGAACCGTTTCTTCAAAATTAAATTTTGAAAAAATATTTTTTGACGATGAAAACCTTATATGGCGATAGATTTGAAATCTGAAATAACATATTATAGGCCTACGATAAGCGGTTGATTTATAAACGAACATCAAAGTTTAAGCGTTCCGTGCTTTGCATGTAGCTACTGATTGCAGTCGACGTCC